CAGAGCAATGTCGCAGCCTTCAGTCTCGTCTCCGCCAGTCCTTTGGGGTCCCGTTCGTACACTTGAGGCTTCAAGAGCTCTTCGAGGACTGGGAAGAGGACACGATCAAAGACAGTGGGGAGTGTAGACTCGTCTCCAGAGAGAATTTGAGGGGAAAGGAGGACTCGTTGGAGGTATGTAATGGCTCTTTGGCGGATCTCCCGACAGCCGTTGATGCATTGCTTGCCAATGACAAGGAGAGGCGGGAGCCAGAACGCGTTGAAAGCTGACAATGCCTGTCAGCTGATCGTCTCTACGCTTGATGACAGACACGTACCTTGGTGCTCTGTCAAATCGCTCGCGGCCATCAACGCAGGAATCACATTCCGCAACTCGTATAAAGAGTCCAATGCCGACAACCCTCTTTCGACCGTTGGGCCCCTGATACAGTCAGTACCGGACAAAACCACAAGCAAAACTACTCACAAGCTTCCAGAGGGAGGTCCACCAAGTGAAGGCCTCCTTTGCTGCTGCTGCCTTCCCGCAGCCGCCGCCCCCGCTTGGGTCGCAAACTCGTCCAGAAGCGCCACCACTCCTGCATAGTTGTCCACAGTCACACCCACACCTTTTCCGTCCCCAGAGACGGAACCGGAGGCAGCCATCTTTTTCACAATCTCGAGGGTCACCTTGCTCGCTTCGGGGTGAGCGACAGTCGCCCTAAAGAGGGCAATGACGAGGTTCCACTCGGTTTGGGATTTGAGAACAGTGGCGTCTTTCTCGAGAACGAGGGCAACACCAGCCATGAGCTGCTCGGATACGGCATTGAGAACTGTGGAAGGGAGCGAGCGGAGGACGTCCAAGGCAATGTAAAGCTGGTCACGGAGTTCGGGCTATGGAATAGTAAGCTAATGTCGTAGGATGCAAGCTAGACTTACATGATCAGAACAGACCAAGCAAAGACGCAGGAGGCCAACGACAGCACGCTCAATGAGGAGTACGCTGTAGGACTGCGCAGAGGAGAGCAATTCCGAGATGTACTCAAAGATGATTGGCCTAGAAAATCAGCACTTGTGATCCAAAATCTACTTTCGAAAGCACTCACCATGTCTCCGCAATGTGTTGCGTCCCCTTACTAGCCAGACTGACCATCATCTCCAAATGGAACACGCAAGCTGGGTCATAAGGCAGCTGTCCTTCAAACCTTGCCCCCAACACAGGAGAACCAGTCTCACCCCGCTGCTCTGTAGGAGACTGGAGCTTGTCGGTGGTGCGACTTTCTGCCAGGGTTCGAATAGCTCGCAGAGCTGGAAGAAGCGCTTCTCCGGGGAGGTTTCTATATCATACGATCAGTATTGACCTGAAGCACACAGAGTAATGCTTACAGTATCTCAGCATAGAGCTCTTCAAGCTTACACGAGCTCAAACAGTCGATAGCCACCAACGTATTTTCCACATCTTCCTCGCTGGCCTCCATCACCACGCCTTCCGGCGCCTGGCCATACGGACTCAACAAGTAACTCGACAGAGTCGACAAGAGACCGCCCTCTGGTCTCCGTTCGGGGGCGGGCGCAGGAGCAGCTGCCTTGAGAGGAATGGTTGTTGTACCGGCAAGGAAGTCTTCCATCTGGAGCATCGGTGCAGGGAGAAGCGAGTGTAAGAAGAGGGTTTGGAACATTTCAAAGATCTGGAGCCAGCCTTCTCGCATGGCTGAGCCGTTGCCATTGGCAATGGTGAAAAGCACCACAGTCGCCAACTGTGCCCTGTAGCTCTGACCAAATTTGATCGACAGCGGCGAGACTGTCAACTCTTGCCCTTCCTTCTTGACGACGGGGTAGTTGTCCATCTGATAACCGTCTTCAGTGTCATCGAGCAACCCTGTAGCATTGGACAGGGACTGAACAATGTTGTCGAATACCTCTGGAAGGTGGTACGTCGAAGCAAGCAGAGCAGCTTGACGGAATCCCGTGACGGCTTTCTGAATGACGTGCTCGTCTTGAGCAGACATTGTAAAAGCGTAGGCGATGGAGGATATAAGAGGCCGCCAAGCAAGCTTGAACATTGCCTCGTCAAATATCGAAGTGTTACAAAGGATCATAGGACCTGGCATAAGTCAGCAAACACTCGCTTTCTCAAGTGATAGACTCACCAGACGTCCTCGACCTCTGCATCAAAGTCTTCCACGCATAATCAAACCCATGCTGTCCCACATGTTCCTCTGGCAAAATGATCTCCTTCTCCTTGATACTCTCATGAATCTCATCCAGATACGCCTCTTCAAAGTTCTTGCCTCCATTGACACCTCTCAAATTCTTCTTGTAATCCTCCGGTGTCATCCGTTTCTTATTCTGCGGGTTGTGCAGATCAGTGTTCAACATGATGACGGAATAGGCGAGGACATAGACGGAATCCTCGTCGGCAATGCCTGGGGGTGCAAAGGAGAAGAAATGAGCGGCGAATGTCTCGGTGATCCTGGCAATTGGCTGAGCTTCACCGGGAAGTCTAAAAGTCTCCAAAAGCTCTCGCAAAGAGTCTGCGACACTCTTGCCTTGGAAGTCAAAGAGACCGATATAGGCTTTGAGCAGCGGCTCCTTGTCGGGGCCAGAGATATACTCGCCAACCAGTTTCTTATCCAGCCTAGGACCCCAGCGCAGGAATTTTGCAACAGCAAGATTCTGCTTCTCCTCCTCAGAACCTTCGCCTGTAGGGTCGGGCACGATGACACCCTTCTCCAGCAAGAAAGCAACGCCCTTCTTGGGCTTGACGTTGAATTGCGCAGCACCAGCGAGGATGACAGACTTGCGTTCTTTGGCAGAAGTGAGATCCTCGGCTCTAGGGGCAGATTCCGGCCACGGCGCATCGCCTTGTTCCAACCTGTCCGCCATGGACGCCACAAACGCCAACAGAATCTCCAGGGACAAGAACTGAGTACTATCGAGGCCCTCAAAGAACGGACTAGACCCGTCCGCTTTGGGCGGTCCTTGGGGATACACCCCCCTGGTCAAGAAAGTGATTAACCGCTCGAATATATCTTCACTATCGGTATTGCAGTCAAAGTTGACCCAGCAGTCGACCATGAATGATGGACGGAGAGCAAGTTGAGTCAGGGTGTCGAGCATGAGTTCGCGAGTCTCGTGAGGGGCTGGGGGCAGGAGAAGCGCTTTGGGAGTTGCAGGAGCACTGCTCGGTTCAAGTGCGGTCTCCAGACCAGGAGTAGTAGGGCCGCCGGCCCCAGGTGTACCAGGTCGAGAGTCTGGACGAATGTTGAGCAGTTGTGGAGGAGGAGTGGGTGGAGTCAGGCGGTCAATGAGGTATGACAAGAATAACTCGAGCTGAGGTTTTAGATGGGGAAGGACAGTGGAGAAGAGGGTGGAAGTTGTTCGAAGTGACTGGGCGAGAAGGGAAGGGGAATCGGATCGGGTGAGCTGGAAGAGGTATCTGCAGCCCTCGTCCCGAACACCTTCTCTCAGCTCGGGCCAATTGCCGAGATGCACACCTCCAACTTCTAGGGCAGTGTTCAAAATAGCCAGCGCAGAGAGACGCATGGTATCGGTGTGATTATTGTCGTGAGGATCCAACAATGCCATCAGAACACGCAAGAGCTCCAGGATTGTTGGGAGTCCGTAAGGCGTAAACATGGGCGCGAGAGGCTCCTCGATTTCGGATCCAGATTTCTCGGCTTTGGGCTGCTCATTATCGACCTTTTCGATGGTCACCGAAATCCTCTGCGCTCCTTCCTTCGGCTCAGCATCGGATTCTCCTTGTCTCTCTGCTTCCTTCGCTGCAGTCTCCTTCTGAGCAGCTTCTCTCAAAGCAGTCTCCCTCGCCTCAATCTTTGTCTCATACTCTTTCGCGTCCTTCATCAACTTTTCCACGTCTTTCTGTTTCATACTCCTCAGCTTTCTGAACGCATTCCTCACAATCGCCTGCACACAGTTTTGGGCAGTCGACCTGACGCCCTCGCCAAGCCTGGCTCGGGCCAGCATCCCAAGGCCCACCTCGAGCAGTTCGCAGACAGATTCGTCGCCCATGTAATCGAGATAGTTGCCCAATTCAAATGGCGTCGGGCCATCGCTCGGCAAGGGAATGGGTCGAGTGAGCGCTTCAATCACCCGCAGTAGGCGCAAGAGGACGAGCTCGTCCTGCTGGGGAGATGAGCTTGGGAACCGACATTGTGAAAGGGCCGATGTTGTGTGGGCCAAGGCGAGCTGGAGGGGAGTGGACTGGGAAAATGCCTTGGGTGCAGGGGTGAGGTAGAGCGGGAGAATGGAGGTAAGGATAGAATGGACAGAGGTAAGAGATAATGCTGTGATGGGGCCGGAGGTGGATGGCGACCGGATCAGGGCAAGGAAAGGAGCGATGAGGTCTATAGGTGGTAGAGCAGTAATGTCTGCGGAGAATACAAGTCAGCCTACATGTCCCAAGCAGATAAACTCTAAACCTACCTTTCACGGCGCTCAACAACCGTCTCAGCTCTATGAACCCATCCATCAGATCACCTTTCTCCCCGTGCTCTGCACTTGGTCTCCCCCTTCGGCTTGCAGCTCGAGCCAAGAGCTTGTTGTTGAGTGCCGGTTGCAGAGATGACTGGTGGGAGCCATAGGAAGCGGTACTATTTGCCCATCTCTGGTTACGCCTCATATTCGAGGTGATGGCCTGCACCTCCTGAAGAAGGAGCGTGATCGGCTCCAAGTCCATTTGAGATTCCATGTTGGGTGATTTGATAATTAGGCAGGTGCGCTGGAACAGTTAACGAGGCCCGCCAAGAGAGCTGATAGACGCGTCTGGTGTCGAACGGTGGGCTTGCCGAGTCACTCGTCGAGAATGCACCACCGGATGGTTGAATGATATCGGAAAGAGAAAGAGAAAGAGAAGTGGATGAGAAATGGGAGATGCGTCCACTCAACATCGCTGGAACCACCAAGAGATACGGTACGCCGTGGAGGACGCCGCTGTTATTACGTAAGCCCCTCCACGCTCATACACGAGCTTGCGCGTCTCAACTCGTCACTGTCAGTCGCATTCACCGCTATACAACACCATGGAGTGCTCGTTCGGTATCACAGGTAGGTCGCGATGGGGCAGAGGGGGCAGCGCTGACCCCGCACAGGCAAAGACTATGTCATCCTCGCCTCAGACATGGGCGCAGGCCGTTCCATCGTCCGCATGAAGTCGGACGAGAACAAGATCAAGGCCCTTGGCCCCCACCTCGCCATGGCCTACGGCGGTGAACCAGGAGACACCAACAACTTTGCCGAGTTTGTCGAGCGCAACATGCGTCTGTACAACATCCGGTATGCTCTTGCACCAGTCGCAGGTGGGATATGGCTGACAGACTTGGGTTTGCAGACACCACTTCCCCCTTCTCCCCCACCCTGCTTCAGCATGGATCCGCCGCACACTGGCTGAATCCATCCGCTCCCGTAAACCCTACGCCGTCAACCTTCTCCTCGGTGGTTTCGACACCACCACCTCCAAACCCCACCTCTACTGGATCGACTATCTCGGTACCAAGGCTGTCGTCCCCTACGCCGCGCACGGTATGGGTGTCTATGTCAGTCTGAGTACTATGGACAAGTGGTGGAATGAGGATATGGACCAGAGAGAAGGTGTGGAGGTGCTGAGAAAGTGTATTGATGAAACTGAGAAGCGTGAGTTTGGTCCCGTGGCGACACTTGTAAAGGACAGCGGCTCATGAGAGACTATAGGTCTTACGATCAAATTCGACTTTAACGTCATTCTTATTGACAAGGATGGTATCCACAACGTCGACCTTTCCCAAGAAGATCCCATTGCCAACATTGAAGCCAACCCCAAGGACACCCAGGTGGATGCTCCCCGTCCTCCCATAGAAGTTGGTGTCACTGTTTGAGGCAGGTGAATGGCAAGATCGGGAATTAGGGAGTAGCATCGAAGGACAAAGATGTATTTTATGACTAAACTGGGTATACTGGCTTTCATTGCCGAGGTAGTGAGAATGATGGAGAGCTCGGCGACTGTGGACGCTTTTGAGATTCGACATGAGAAGTAGCATCTGTATGGGCGAGGCAAGACCATCGTCCAGTCTCGCGACATCATTGCCGAGTTACCAGCATTGGTCACAAAGAATAACCCACCTCTAGGAAGATCATCGCGGGAAGCATCAGTCAATTTGTCTATCTACTGACTATTCCCCAAATCGTGATCAACTTGCTCTATCATCTCGACCTCATTCCCATTGCATGACATCAGTACAGTAACGTGCATGCTGCATACGACGGTTCATTCTGCGGATGGTGACATCAAGCCTTTCAACCATGGGATGGCGTGAAGACCATCTGGCTCCGCTCCAAAGCTCACCTATAGTTATTCTATGAATCTCTTGCTCATTTTTCCAACTTTCGGGCAAGCTTATCGACTTCCAGATACTCGAGTCATCCTACTTTCTTGGAGACATCTTTGCCCAGAAGATATCGACTAAGCTCAATATCCAACATCCACTAATGACAGCTGCTGTCTTCGTTCTAGATCTTCAAGACGGGGCATGTGGATGGGCGCCGTTCCCATCCTTCAAGTCGCCGCCTACTTGTTCACCAACTTGCTTTCCACGTGCGGGGGCTAAGGCTACACCCATTGGCAGAGCCCGAGGCCATATGCCAAAGAAGCCACTGTCCACTAACGCACGGACCGCCTGATGTTTCATGTAGGTGTCACCCGTGATATCTGTATGTAGCAATAGCCTCGACAAGAGCATGAACCCGTGGGCGTGCGTGAAAAAAGAGCATACTGCTACACATATTGCATCTGTGATGTCATGACTTCTAAACTTCTCTCGTCTAATTATTGACCGGCCTTCCAGTAACAGATATCACCATCAACAATCTCGTAAGGCTTTCCCTGCTGCCTCAGCTTACCAGCAGCCTTGACAGCAGCCTCAGACCCATGCTCCTTCAAATCCTCGTACGCCATGATCTCACCACACACAAACTTGTTTTCGAAATCCGAGTGAATGACACCAGCGGCCGCGGGGGCCTTGATACCCTTTCGGACAGTCCACGCTCGGACTTCGACGGGGCCACAGGTAAAGTATCGGATAAGGTCAAGGGAAGAGTAACCAGAGGTGGTGATCTTGCCCAAGGCGGAGGGGTTCTTGCGGCCAAGACCGAGGGCCTCGCCTTCGGCAGCCTTCTCCTCTTCGTCGGCCATGCGGACGAGACGTTCTTCGAGAGAGACGGAGAAGGGGATCAGGGGGTCTCCGGGGTTGTTCTCGTCGATCCAAGCTTTAATCTTGGGGAGCCACTTGTTCTTCTTTCGGACGTAGTCACGCTCGGAAAGGTTGACAAGGTAGGTGATGGGCTTGGCCGTCAGAAGATCGAGTCGGTTGATGACCTCGACCTGTGATCAAAACGTCAGCGTCGATTCTATAGAGTAGACTGTTGAACAGAGGGTAAAGCTAGTAGGTCAGAGGTATAAAAAAACAAATTTCGGCTCATATATTAATCGGAGAGCTGGGTTTATAGCGCTATGCGCTGATTCATCACTTATAGTGGAGGGAAAAGATGGATGGAAATAAAGTGGAAACGGGCTTACCTCTTTCGTTGACCAAGTGCCCTTTCGGACGTCCTTGTTCTCCTCGACCAAAGTATGCAGGATCTTCTCGACAGTGACCTGTAGCCAAAATAAGCGACTGAGCACCGGCCGAAACAGCGTATACGCACAATCTCCTCCTTCTTGGCCTTGTCGGCCAACGAAACACTTCCCAAGTTTTTGGAAGCCTTCTTCAAGCCGTCCAAAGCCTTCTCAACCCATTCGATATCCTTCAACCTCAGCTCGGTACTGATGATCTGCATGTCGCGCAGGGGGTCGACATCACCCTCGACGTGAATGACTTCGGCATCGTCAAACGCACGGACGACCTGGAAGATACCGTCGACAGCACGGACGTGAGACAAGAAAGCGTTACCGAGACCGGCACCGGTGGAAGCACCAGCGGTAAGACCGGCGATATCGATACAGGTGAGGAAAGCGGGGATTTTGTTGGTGGGCTTGTAAACGGAAGCGAGCCAGTCGAATCGCTCGTCGGGGACGGGGATACGGGCCTCCTCGGGGTCGCTATAGAACCGTCAGACAAATACAATCTACAGTTCGAGACACGAACTTACATGGTAGCGTAGGGGAAGTTGGCAGCCTTACCCAAGTCGGTTTGGGAGAGGGTGTTGAAGAATGATGACTTGCCGACGTTGGGGAGACCGACGATACCAATCTTTGCTAGCGTCAGCCATGATCTCGTTTTGATTGAGAGTACACACCTTCAAGTTGTTACCGGGCCTACCGAGCCTGATCTTCTTCTCCTCGACGACCTTCTTCTTGGGGGCCATCTTTTTTAACTTTGCGGGGGTAGGTAAGGAAGTGGAAAATGCCCTCAGGGGTGTTAATGCGAAAAGTACAGTGGTGTGCTTGGGGGTGTTGATGCGAAGGGAGGCGAAGAACATGCACCCTTTTGTAGATGGAGAGGGAATTTGCGAGAAAATGCTCCAAGCGAAATGTGCCACCACTTTCGACGGACGTGGCTTTTCTTATCACGGCGGACATCCCCGCCCGGCATTCGAGCCCGTCGGTCGTCCATCTTGCCACGTCGAGATGCTGCTAGATGTTCTATCCACGCGACGATGAAGCTCACAGTGCTGCTCACAGCGGCCCTCCTTCCGCTCGCATATGCGGGCATGTATGCCCAGCCAGTCCTCCATCTCGACAGCAAGTCGTTCAAAAAAGTCATGGCCAACGAGCACGCTGCTGTAAGTGTGATTACCATATCTGCAGCTTGTGCTGACAAGTATCAGATGGTCGCTTTCGTGGCTCCCTGGTGTGGACACTGTAAGAATCTCGGACCGGAGTATACCGCCGCTGCCCAGTCCCTTTCTCCCCTCATCCCTTTTTACGCCGTCGACTGTGATGACGCTTCCAACAAGCCTCTCTGTGCCGAATACGGCATCCAAGGATTCCCCACTATCAAGGCTTTCCCCAAAGCTGGCAAAGGTGCCGCAAAAGACTATAATGGAGAGAGGAAGAGGGGGCCGTTGGTCGAGTATGCCAAGAGCTTGGTGCCGGAGAGGGTCAAGAAGTTGAGAGTGCAGGGTGCTGTGGAACCTGTCCTGGAGGGCTTCTTGGGTGAAGTATGTGTCTATCTGAAGCTTTTCAACTAGCACTGACATGGCACCGTAGAAGACTGAACTCCCCCACGTTCTCCTCGTCCACCCCTCTGCTCCATCGATCCCGTTCCTCTGGAAAGTACTCGCTCATCGATACTCTGGAAAGGTAAGCTTTAACTCCCACTTCGCTATGTATACCTGTACTGACTCTTGTCAAGATGCATCTGGGATTCGTCCGCGACACCAACACCCACGATGTCCTTTCCTCCCTCGGGATCTTTGACCCTGCTGATGCTACACGTGATACCGCACGTGTGGTGGCCTGGACAGCCGGGGCAGACAGGGCAGAGCTCGTAGAGTACGACGGTGAGGCATATCCCCATATCAGATAGATAGTCGGAGCTGATAGGGGGTTCAGGTATCCTCAAGTTCAACTCTCTTCTCGAGTGGCTTCAGTCCTCATTCACCTCTTCTTCCTCCTCTTCCCAAGATACCCCCGACCAGAAAGCACCCAAATCAGAATCTTCCCCGAAACCCAACGCCAAACCTGACCAAGACGAGACTGCCCGCCGTCGGGCCAAACTCGAAGAAGCCGAACGTCGAGATCAAGTCCGACGCGCCAAAGCCGAAGCCGCGAGAGCTCAAGTGAAGGCGATTCTTGAGAATGCTGGTAAAGAAGCTAGCCCGGTGGAGGCGGCGCCTGAAGCAGAGCCTGTGGAGGAAATTGTCAAAGTGGACGAACCGGTCGAGGACGAGGAAGGGGCGGCTGAGCCGGTGCCGGAAGAGGCTCCAGGGGCGGGAGAGGTGGAGAGCGAGAATACTGGAGTTGTACATGAGGAGCTCTAGGATGCATATGCATATGTCGATGTGGTTCCTTGCTTCCGCCGTTTCAAATGATTGCACAAGCGTCGACAATAAATCTCGAGAGGCGTCCACTGCATACTCTCGCTTTCGGCCTCCCGTCGCGCGTCCGTGACGTCAAAGATCCCGCCGATGGTCATTGCCGATGCTCACTACTCCATCCCTCGTATCATCCTCTCCTCTTCTCAGCGTAGTATACATACAGCACCCCCCACACACTGACGTATCTCCTTGATATCGTCTCAAGAGAAAGCGATTGAACCAAGACGTTCAACTTTGAAACCGTTTCAACAACTACACCAATCCCGCGGCTCACTTCATCCGTCACCGCCCGCAAACCCGCCCACTTTATTCATCTCAAAGCTAGTAGAAATCCACTATGGTCTCTACCCGATCTTCTCAGGCGCACGAAGAGAATGCCGAATCGGCACCCGTTGTTGATTATCACGAGTCTTCCGGGGAAGAGAGCCAGAATGAAGAGGAGGAGGATGTGGAAGAGACGGACAAGAAGAAGAAGGAGAAAGGCGGGAGCAGCAATGAGAGGAAGAGGCCCGCCCCATCAGGCGAGGGTGTCGCTTCTCCCGATTCGAAAAAGCACAAGAATGCGTATGAAATCAGCAAGTCTCCGCTTCTTCCTACTCTGTCAGTGTAGACTGACAAGAGTTCATTAGAGGGAAAGGTAGCCACGGCCGAGGATGCTGCTCGGATGGACAATGACTCTCCCATTCGACGCTTGTACAAAGCACTTGAACAGCAAGAGGAAAAGAAGGAAGCTGGGGAGAGTGTGGTGTATTGGATGAGGATGGAAGACCTCCGAAGTGAGCCCCTCTCCAATCGTCTGTAGTAGACATGTGCTGACTCTGATCAGTCGAGGATAATACCGCTCTATCAAAAGCCTCAGAGAAGGCCAAAGAGCTTGGCGTACCGCTGCTGGTTCTCGCAGTACTCAGTCCGGGAGACTATAATTGGCATGATCGAAGTCCTAGGCGAATCGACTTTATGCTCCGGAATCTGCGATCTGTCCAGGTTTGTGTCTTTTATCCTAAAGGCTCCCATGGGCTGACAGGGATCTCATTAGAGCAAACTTGACAAGCTCAACATCCCCCTCATCGTCAAGTCTTACGACAAACGCCTCACCATCCCTCGAAAGGTGATCACCGACATCCTCCCTTCCCTCTCAGCTGCCCATCTTTTCGGTAACATCGAATATGAAGTAGATGAATTGACGCGCGATATCAAGACTGTCGAGCTCGCTGGGAAAGAAGGGATAGAAGTGAAGTTGTTCCATGATAGACTGGCTGTACCGCCGGGCAGGATCTTCACCCAGGCGGGCAAACCTATGCAGGTTTACAGCCCTTGGCAGAGAGGTATGGCTCTGTCTCTTGATTGATGGATTGACGCAACGCAAAGAACTAACATGGTTTAGTATGGGCAAGAATACTTGAGGAAGAGCCTAAACTGCTTGTAATGTCGCCTTTGCCAGAAGCCAACGACTCGGCTGTCCGCAAGCATGTCAAGTTTTCCAAGCTCTTTGACACGAGAGTACCGGAGAGTGTCGAAGGTTTTGAGTGCCGAGATCAAGAGTTCATAGCAAAGCTCTGGCCAGAGGGGACCGAGGCAGCCAAGGAGGCAAGTCAGCGCAAGGCTCAATCGGGATGGCTCGATTGCTGACAAGAGAGCACAGTTCCTTGACCGATTCTTGCATACTAAAGCTCAGCAGAACAATTTCGGTGACACTCCGCCGATTTCTCAGAACGCTGAGAATTCCGACAAAGACTCCAGGATCCAAAATTATGGTGCAGGGCGCAACTTGATAGATGGCAATAACAGCTCCAAGCTGAGCCCTTACCTCGCTAGTGGTGTCATCAGCGTGAGGCAAGTGTTGAATGAAGCCAAGAAGTTGGGGAAAAGTGGGAAGTTGGAGAGTGGACGGGAGACGGGCGTGGGCATGTGGGTGCAAGAGGTTGCTTGGCGAGACTTCTATAACCAGGCAAGTCCCATCGAGTTAGACTGTGATCATGAACTAACGTACTTTATTATCAGGTCATGACCACTTCACCTCGAGTCTCCATGGGTCGCCCCTTCCAGGAAAAGCTCGCAGACGTTCAATGGGAGACGTCCGAGTCCAATCTACAAGCCTGGAAAGACGGCAAGACTGGGTACCCTATCGTCGACGCCGCCATGAGAGCGTTGAACGCCCGGGGATGGATGGAGAATAGGTTGAGGATGGTGACTGCCAACTTTTTGATCAAAGAACTCATGTTGGATTGGAGTAAGCTTACCTGCCGACACACATCTGACGAATTGACTGACGCGAATTATTCTTAGGGTTGGGCGAACGCTACTTTATGCAGAGTCTGATTGACGGTGACCTGCCTTCCAACAATGGCGGCTGGCAGTGGGTGGCCAGTACAGGAACCGACCCCCAACCCTATTTCGTAAGCCACATGCCTACCCATGCGTTCGCGCCTACTGACTGATTTTATGTCTGCAGAGGATCTTCAATACTATAACTCAGTCCGAGAAATGCGACCCCGAAGGATCCTTTATCCGCCACTGGGTCCCTGAGCTCAAGGATGTCAAGGGTAAGGCGATCCATGATCCCCACAAGCATTTGTCTTCGGCCGAGTTCGAGAGGCTGGGGTATCCTGCTCCTCTCGTTGAGCACAAGGAGGCGCGTGAGCGGGCGCTGTTCAGATACAAGAATGTGGGAGAGGTTTCCGATGAAGAGTAGGAGTGATATGCCATGGGGCAATCGTTCATATTTCTGGAGTCAGACGCACATAAGAAAGCAATAATGTAATCAATCACTCGAACTTGTTTGATCTAGCCCTCAGATGCTCAACAGAGCGTCCAGATCGCGTATGATGACCAGGCAATATTGAGTTGCATTGCCCAACATAGAACTCTAGATAAACACCATGCGAAGGTACACACGAAGGGCAAGTATGATGCCGACAAGAAAAAACGAAAGGAAAAAGTACGAAGACATATTGTTTGTTGTTTTTTTTTGGGTGCCGATCATGTTGCGAACCTATATATCGTGTCAGCGCATCAGTGATATGAGCCAGCTCTTGATGACTAGGCTTACACGCCGAGCATCTTGAAAGGCGGTGTCTTCTGTCCCTCCTTGCCTATCAGTGTACACTCCACGTAATGCTCTCCTGGTGCCACATTCTCGTCGATCAAGGTCAATCTGGGTCTTTGATGAGCTTTCGTGACTGCAAGGTGGACGTGGGGACTCACGTGGTAGTCGTGCCGTGCACATCTGAAATACCACTCAACTCGACCGCTCCGGCAACATTGTCGTCCACCCAGCAAGCTGCCCTCCCAAGGGGCGTCTCTTCAGGATTTCTACTCATACGTTAGTGCCAGTACGGTTTTTGTAAGCAGTGTTGACTCACTGGAGGTAGTAGATGGCGACATCACCGGCGCTCAAAGTCACATGTACCCTGAAGCTACTCCCTCCCACTTCCGCATACCAATAATGCTTTTCCTCCTGCGCCGCTCCCTTCGACGGGTGGTAAGCGTGCCAACCAGAGCCGTAGAAGTGCGAGGGCGGCAGCGGGTTCAGCAGATCGTTGGCGCTCACACAGTAAGGCGCGACTTCTCTAAACTTCAAAATATCGCTCGGCCTAGAGGTCAACATCGCAGAAGGCACCTTGACTGCCCTCTGCTTGGCGGCAGCTCCGCCACCCTCGCTCTCGTCCGCCTCACCCGGGACTGCACTGTCGCCGGCAAGAACCGGGTCAATGCCAGAGGTTGGGGGTGGCGCGCCCATGTAGGGCACGTCGAAAGCGTGTCCCATAGTCGCTGCCCAACCGGAGCAGATTTGGGTTTGCATATAAGAGATGAGGAGGTCGGAGATGAGCTCGTGACCATCGGGATTGGCAAGCATGGGGTCGGCGAAGAACTTGCCGCGAGCGTCTTGCGGGTCGAGGAGGTAGTCGTGGTAGAGGATGCCCTTGGCACTGCAGACAGTCAGCAACATAGGGAGACAAGACAGAATGAGCTTACCTGATATGGGGAATGTCGTAAAACTGCGCCACGACGGTATGCAGCAGCTCCGGTCCCGCGTAACCATTCTGGGCCTGAAGCTGAGGCGCAAAGTGTCCCAGAATGATGACAGCCGGCTGATCAGGTCGCACCAGAATACTCCTCACAAGCAGCTCAAAATGCGACAGCCACTCCGGGTCGTATGGATCTTCGGCATCAAATTCAAGAATCACCAGATCTGTCTGATCTGGCAAGTGGTGCTGTGAGCAGTACGCAAAGTACGCCGAATCCGTCTTTCTTGACGCTCCGTTCGTGAGCTCAGAGTCGGGATGAGGAAAGATCGAGTTCCACCAGTTGAAGAACCTTGCGGGGTAGCACTTGGGCGAAACGGGGTCGTCGCCTGCACCGTGACAGGCAGAGACGGAGCCGCCCAAAACTGAGATCGTAACTGGTTGACCTGCCATGGCTTTCTGCATGACTTTTTGCACGCGAGCACCAGATCCCATGTGAAGGCGGGAGCGTAGGAGACCCCACTGGCCACGTCGATTGGCCACATCGTCGCCAGGACCAAAGACGGGGCAAAAGTCGAAGGGGGCAGGATCGGAAGCGGAGGCGTTGATATAATCCTTGGGAGTCAAGAGAAGCGCGTCAGATGCAGACGAGTCGGAAGTGGCTGAATTTCATTAGAGAACGAGTCTGCAGTCGAGTAGAGAACACTCACGTAGAAGGAGACGCGAAAAGGTAAAGATGCCGATGACGATACCGATGAGGAGCCATATGCGGTGGGAGAGACCGTAAAAAGTACCGGGTTTTCCGCTACCGCCGTCAAGGCCGACCTTGACTTCGCGCAGCATGGTGGGTAGTTCAGAGGGGTGGATGTGGGCGAGATGTGATGCAGAAAGAGAGATAGAAAGTCGGAAATCTTACGCGCAGCGCCAACGTCCAGGCTCGACGGGACCAAATCCATCGCTATCAAAGACGCGTACAGAAACGCGAACGCGACTGCTGAACCACATCAACTCGCAAGTCATCGATTGGGGCGCGTAGACCACCATGGCCCTTCCCAAGTCCCTCCAGAAAAGCCTGACCCCAGACGAGCTCACCTTTCTCGCTGAGCAGAACCACATCAACATCGTGCCTCTCTTTTCCATGACCCCTGTACGGCTTGTGAGCGTACGTTACTCATTCTGGTTAGTACGGAAGCTGTAACGGCTGACGTATTGGCGTTTAGGGCATCTATGGACCATTTCATCCCCCTTCTGCAGCCAGGGTCCCCATATGGTTGGGATTGAGTTTGAAGAAGAAGAGAAAGTGTAGGATCGTGCCACCAGAATGGCTTTCCGTCGGCAAGTTGTCCATGTCTCGCCCTCTACAAAGACCGTTTTTCTGATGAAGAACTGTAGAAAACTTGCTCCAGGTTTTGAAGAATGAAAAGGAAAACTCGGAAGGGTTTGAAAGATTACCGCGGCGGTTTATGGAGATCAGCAAGGTCCTTTTAGACGTGTAAGCAATCCTTCGCTTCAAGCTTCCTATACACGCTAATAATACTATCTTTCAGAGCACTCGATGACATTTCACAAGCTACACAAGTCCGCTCACTTCTCAAAGACATCAGAGAAGTCCGCCAGGCCAAGATTCGCTTCGGTCTCCAAAGCGAAGACGTATTGCAAAGTGACTATCTCCAAGTAAGTCTCTCTCTTTGCCCCCCTGGCATATGCTAATGGTTGTCAGGTGACGAATCTCACACCATTAGAATTGTCAGAGCTCAAACCGTTCTTGATAAGGTCGATGAGCTTGATGCAGAGTCTCAAAGCACAGAACGAGGAAGAGGAGGATGAGGAGTAGAGCTTGAATGGTGTATAACTATAACTGGTGATTAGGGGCCCGTCACCGTCTCTATGATGTTTGCTGACAGACTGTGCAGTTGTATAATAGTGTTCGCGGCATAGATGCATTCATTCTCACAGTTCGTGGCATCGTTATCATTCAATATTGACAGAGAAAAAAAAGATGGAATCGGCAGATAATGAGAAAGGAGAGAGCAAACAAGGTAGAATACCACCAGATGAAAGAAGCCACATGACCCACGGCCAGAGCTCATCGCATGGGATTCAGGAAGAGGAAAGCTGGTGGTACAGATATTTCCGATCAACGATCAAGAAATCAAAGATTGGGGTCCAGGTGTGAGGAAATCGCAAAAAGCACTTGGGCTTGATCGAAGATTAACTTAAAACTCTATACTAGACGGAGAAACATTGCTGTGGACTGCTAGACGTGTTGTGGTGGTGGGAGGCAATTTACATGAGGACACAGCCGTTTCCCTTCTTGGCCTTACCCGCACGTCGATTGGGGTTGACTATGGTACATCAGTACATCATCAGGTAGAGGTATCAGAGATGTACGCACGGACGGTCCGGATAGCCTCGTCGAATACCGACTTCAAGTTCTTCTGGGTAAGGGCGGAGCATTCAAGGTACTGAACTGCCATCAGTATCTTCATCCACAACCTCGAAAGGTGGCACATACCTTGGCAGCTTTAATGTCGTTCGCCATGGCGGACCCTTGAGAGAAGGTGACGGGAGATTGCTTTCGTTCCCTCAGCTTGTCGAGCTGCATGGGGTCGTCTCTCAAGTCGAGCTTGGTGCCGACGAGAATGATGGGAGTACCGGGGGCTGTACAAGGGTCAATCTCGACATGATATGGGCATGAAATTGTACTCACAGTGATGTTGAATTTCGGGATACCACTACAGCCCAGTTGTCAGCGACAGCTCTCACGAAACACGCAAGAGATGAGAGGAATATCAGAAGGAAGGCAACGGAGGTGTCCACATGATTTTGCGCTCTCGGACTTGCGCCCGAAGGCATTTACATCCGAAAAATACTTCATCATACGATCCCTCACATCAAAAGACCCAGTTACACCTACCTTTGTTCGCACGTTCTCGAAAGAGGCGGGAGAGACTACAGAGAAGCAGAGAAGGAATACGTCGGTCTGGGGGTAGGAGAGTGGTCGGAGTCGACTATCATCCAAAGCTCACATTAGCCTCTCATCACGGTATATCAGCACAAAGCGGAGACCCACTCGTAATCCTCCTGACCGGCAGTATCCCACAGACCCAAGGACACGGTCATGCCGTCCACCATGACCTGGCTCGAGTAGTTGTCGAACACGGTGGGGACGTATTCACCGGGGAACGCATTGGTTGTGTAACTGATAAGGAGACAAGTCTTTCCGACCGCACCATCACCCACGACGACACCTGCATCAGATCAGCAGCCATCCCGCCTTGACGCCGCCCGACGACGTACACTTGATGTTTCTAGTAGCAGCCATGATGTCTCTGGAGCAGGCAAGATATACGGGAAGAGAGGCTGAATCTGCAAAAGAGACGGATCGTCTGTCAGCGCGATGCGTTACGCGGTCGCGGTCACAGGGGGGTTGTCAAGGGTACAGCTGCCATGACAATTCCCTTTCCCTCGTCCCTCCGCGCACACGACGGCGCGCGTTCTGGCAACGCCGGTGGCCTCCTGGGGTGATTTGGACGCGTCGTGGGGCGGGGAGGGGGGCGAGGGGATGCTTGACTTACCTGGAGAACGGTAGTTGGGGAAAGAACGCGGTGACAGGAGTCGTCTACGGGGCTGTCGGTGGAGGGAACGAGCGCGTTTTGGTGGCGGGGCGAGCGTGATGCCGAGGCGCGTAAAGTGGGGGGACAGCGGGCGGCGGGGGTATGAATCTGCAGGGAATATACCTGGGTACGACTCAGAGATGGAAAGAGCAGAAACGACGTTGCAAGATCCAGATCAAGATGCGTGAAGGGTCAGAAGAGCACAACCTAGCTTAGCTTGCAAAGTAACCTTTGACTACTGTTAGAAAACCCTATTGTTCTTCCACTCGAATTTGATGCCGTCTTTTCTACCCTCGAATGTCAAGGGTCACATCTTGCCCACGGGGCCCCTCTGGGAGCCCCTTCATGCGTATGCTAAAGCTGTGCGGCACAGGCTGGGTTGCAAAGTCTGGAATGCCTACTTTGCCGGAATTGGCGCCCCTCAAACGACAAGGATCTCGAGGATCTCACGCCCTTTTCTTTCAACTGACCCTCTTTTCGGTTCTCTCGCCCCGTTTCTCGCTTGTATGGTCTGCCCTGGCAAGCAGATATGTATATTCCAGAGGTCGTGTACATTTATCTGCTGCTTGTGAGTTTACAGACCAGAGAACACCACACCTGATATCACTTGCCAAAGACGAAGAACATGTGCCAATGGCTCACTCACAAACGAGAGAGCACTTTCGGCGCTTATCTGGTATAGGGACGGACTTCTCTCCAGATTTAAAACACAATCTGTAGAATTTCAAGGCTCAAGTTTCCGCGACTTATTTTACTTGCTAGTCTGGACCCAAGATTCCCTTCTACGGCATACCCATCGCGTCGCCGGGGTTCACAGGTCACAGGCCTCACAGGCCTCACAAGTTCCATCGTAGTCATCGTCTTCTTGATTGTTCAACCTCTATAATTGCGCGCTCGCCAGTGCCAAAAGCAAGAGGTATGGTGTGAAATGCTTGATAATTGTAGCAAGACAGTAGACATCTGAGATGTGGCCCCCGCTTGCTTCAACGCAGCTTCAACGTAAAGCTCATGGTCCCGTTGTACATAACGGGCAGAGACGCGACTTACAACTCTTTTTCGTCACTCGCCAGAAGTTCCGGACGTTCGTAACAGAGAATTTGGGCCCACCCAATGACAAATGGCGTATGTACCAAATGTACGCGCTTCCTTATCTCGACATCATCACTCATCCAACAAATGTCTGGGATGCTTCCTGGAGCTTCGTACGAATAACTGAGGATCTCCTTTTTGTGGTGCTACTACCGAAAGAAGCAATACCCGTTAACGCCACCAATCCATTATTACCGTAGGTATGGTGCATATAGTGATGGAAGCATTCGCTTCGGCAACGATTGCTGACGTTGAGGTCTTCCCGGGTGTATCCTGCTGACCGGATATAGCCACAGACCACACTCAAGTGGGACACAGTCGACTCGGGGCAACACGGCCTGGCTAGAGGTATACGTAGGCATGATCAACACATCCGTTGCACTCAGCAGCCAGCGCGGGGTGATCCGGATCGTTGATCGAGAAGGAGACAAAAAAGTAAGGTGAGACGCACTATCTTCTTTGACCACATGGTGACGACGCACTATCTTGTTAAAATACTCGTACTGAGCAGATGCCTGAGGCCTGACGGTGATTGAAGCATATTGCAACGGCATGGGTTGACGGCATACCTCCGACCGAGGCGTGCTGCCATTGTCCTTCTATCCATAATCCAACTTCTGTCGGATTCGGATGTGTTTGGTGTCTGGCGATGTGCATCCGTCCGGGTGCATTCGCTCGAGGTTTCTATCCCCACCGTAGCCGGCCAAGTTCCCAAGCGAGAGCCCTTGGGTCGTCGGAAGACTCGAAGGCGGACGTCGCAGTTGTATATGGCTCCTGGCTCGCCCATCACTGCCACTGTATTAGTACAAAGTGGAGCTTTACGAGTTTTCGCACATCCCCTTAAGGCTATGTATGTACGTACAGGTCTCGGAAGCTTGGATAGCAAGGAACTGAGATCTTTCTCTTTCGTACAAGGAAAATGGAAACAGGGTATCATCATGTGGCCATGTGCCGTCGGTTGAGCCCGGAAATCAAAGCCGCATCGCCTTGTCCGGGATGTCCGGTCGATCACTGTGTACCTCACTACGACCCAACGTACCTTCTCTGGTGGCCGAGAAAGTCTGCCGAGAAAGAAAAAGTATGTACATCGGCTATGCAGGCTGGCAGCTGCGAGCAGCTGGGCCGGTGGATCCCTTGGCGTGACATGTTTCCGTTTACCGCATGCTAATTTCACACATTCGCACATTACGATGGTGGTCGGTCCGGAGGGTATCTCCTTGCTGGACTTTAAATGCGCCATTTGACACACATGTACTCTACCCGCTTTTGACGACTTCTTGTGAAAGGAAAGATGCACGCTGCGCTGCGGCCTGTGCAAGTCGTCGCATGCTCTCACGCAAGATGACGACAGAAATGATGATCATGAATCATCGGATACGTATCTTATCTAATCCTTTTCTTATCTTGGACCTATGTAACACGCTGAAACTCAGCCGACATGCCTCTTCTTCTGGGACCGGTTCACAGGTTGTGCTACAGCAGTGTGGCAGACTGCTTGGGTACATACGGGCAAGCGCGTATGTCTCGTGAGACCTTATTAGCCTCGGACGCTGTCTCAAGGATTGGCGACGGAGATGGAGAGCTGCTTTGGAAGCTTCAAGCCCTCCAACGTTGTGGGAAATGAAGGCACCAATCTTACCATCTCCACCCAGCCTACGACCTACGATCTACGACCCCGCGACACTGGCAATGTGGCCGCTGCCACAGAGCAAGAGGGAGCAGATGGATGAGAATTGTACGAATCCGGCATGCGGTACGGACAATAATCCGTGAATGGAGCGGCATAAAAAAAAATAGACGTGAAAAGGAACTAGAGCGCCCAAAGCGAGCAAAGAGGAGTATGTAGGCGCGGGAAGGGCGCCTCAGGAAGGTTGGCCGGTGTTTGAATCCCTGCAATCACATGTCCGCGCCCAGCGTTTGATAACAGATCTAGCAGAGGAGCCATTGATGCCGCTCAGGTACTTGCGGCTTGTAAAGTCGGCTCTTTCTGTTGATGATGATGTGCTCCAGTGGGGAAGAGTGCATACGCGCAGTCTCGACCGAATGTTCTGGGTAAGGTGACATTGCAAGTACGTACTCTAGACACCGGACGAAGATGATGCGAGCCAGTAACTCCGTGCACCGCCAGAGAGATCACTCAACCTTCGACGCATCATTGCACAAGCATGACATGCTTGTTTGACTTTTGCAGACATGTCGACGAGCGGTGCAGTGGGTCGAGGATTCGTAGTCTGGCAGTAGCTTTTGTTGCCAGCAGAAAGCGGGAGACGGCGGGCGGTCGAGCGCAAGAGGTCTCGTTTTATTTGGTGCATACAAAAGACGGACAAGGCTTGAGCCCCACGGAGACCCCCCGGGCGACAGGAAAGAGCGCTAGGTACAGTCGGTCGACGCAAGAGGAGGCAGAGATCGAAACCGACCGTAGCTCGGCGATCCGTCCGAGACCTTTCCTCTCCTGTTTTTATCTTGAGCCAGGAATTCGCTGGTCGTTGGTAGCTGGAAAATGGGCCAAGCTGCAGGGCTATTGGCTCTTGTCTCTGCTCTAGCATGCGCCTCAAGATCGCCAGAGGGTGCCAGACCAGAATGCTGGTGTACGCGCCAGGTACTCGGAGCAACCTTGCTAGTCCCCAAGTCCACGGGACAGACACCGGATCTGGTGCATCTGTGTCATCACGAGGAGTGCATTGTCGATCCCATCCGGCTCCACGATACATACGCAAGGGGCGCATGTAGGGCTGCAATCTCTGGTAAAAGGCGATACCTCCCTAGCCAACCCCACCCACCCACTACGGAAACGCCCAAGGGTCGATCAAAGTTTAGGAACTGGTGGAAGCCAGAACCAAAAGTTGTAACCCATCGGGCGTGAACCCGTCCCGAGTTTCCGGAGTTTTTTGGTGCCAACTTATTGCACAATTACGTTCCCATGTTGAGTGAAGGCAGGGGCTATGGATGGGCCGTATGGGCTGCCTGACAGTATGGGCAATGGTACCGCCCGGCACCGTCGAGCGATGGGCTGGACAGGACGGAGAGCGATGGAGAGACATGCCAAGTGAGGAGGGTTGCGGTGCTCGCTCAATGGCAGCTAGCTGCATTCGACCCTACGTCGGCCCTCTGCCGCCTGCCGGGCGGTACCCTGTCCGGAATGCAGCAAGCGATGTACGAAATGGACGCAGTATTCCACGCGCCATGCATCTCGTGCCCAGTCCCGAAAAGTCAGATTTGGGGCCCTCTAAGCCAGGGGCCCGTATCCTACCCTGCCCCGTTCGGGCGACGGCATTTTCCAGACTTTCATTTGCATCTTCATCCTCTTCTCCATCTCCCACTGTACCATACCCGCTTCTGCGCCAGTGCCCTGTATATCCCTCCCCAGCTCGAGGCAAGCACGAGGCTCTACGCGTCCGAGGCCGGTCTCAGACGCGTTGCTCAAAACCATAGATCGAGGATCTCTTTGTGCTGTCCTCCTCCCCCCCACGCCCGTGCTAGACACGACAAAAGCAAACCCCAGGGTGGGTTGCATGAGCGAGGTGAGTGGATCTGTCCCAATGTCATCGCAGCGTGCAGGGGTCAGAGCCTGGCCTCGCGCTGGGCACTCTTGACCGTCCCGAGCAGACGTCCGGGGAATCCCGCAGACACTACCCCTCTGCGCTACACCGGCTGCTTGGGCCCTTCAGAATGGTCTGGAATGAGGACAGTAGTCACTTGGGCAGCAATTGCACGCTCATTGCTTAACGCCACGCCTTTCTCTTACCTCCTTGCACTAGCTCACTCAAAAGTTTCTAGCTATGCCCGCGCTTAACCAATTCTATAACGACTCCAGCACCATGATGGAGGCTGGTCACGGCCCCATTCATCCCTCTGGACCTATATACATTTCAGCCCAAGCCCAGCAGCCACCGCCGCATGGGCACGCACCCCATCCTTTCGTCCACCAGGCGTCTCTTCCCCAGCAGCAGCACCTCTACTATCCCCCCCAGCCAGCACGTCCGGCGTCGCCAGAAGAGCTGAATGGCGTACCATGCTTGCAGGTGACGCAGCCGACACCGACAAAGGGGAGAAAGTATAGGACGGCGAGTGATGCGGGAGGAAGCACGTCAGGGGAGAGTCTGTATATGGCGAGCCCGACGTGGCGGACGGGGCCTATGCTTCCTTCGTCTGGGTCGGCAGGTGGGTCGTTGGAGGTCTCTGTTGAGCCATTACAGCACTATACCGGGCCACCATTGAGAGCAAGCAGGCCTAGATCCCCCGACGCGGAACACTTCAGGGAGGGTAGCGAAGATGACAAGGAAGCAAGGAGAAAGCAGAGGGCACGAGAGATGGGCAGAGAACGGCAGCGTAGAAAACGGGAGAGAGACAAAAAGGCCAGAGAAGTGAGTCTACCACAGCACAAAAGGTGGACACTGGCTAAATGATTGTAGGAAGCTATGAAGGGAAAGAGCCAGAGCCGAGACGACGTGCCCTCGGGGCGTCGAACTAGCAACGCATCATATACTGGCTCTCAAAACTCTCTTAGCATTACTGTCCCTTCCCCGGCCTCCGCCTACTCGCCTCTGGGCACCAGCAGCTCATACTTTTCCATCTCGCCGTCCGGCCATCAGCTTGGCCAGATGTCCGGCCAGTCGTCCCCGGGCGCATTCTTTTCGCCCACCGTCTCGACACCAGGCAGTTTTTTGGAGAGCAGTGGGACGAGTTACTGGGGAGAAGGGAAAGCGGGAGCGGGCGGCCTCGACTTGTCTGCCAACAAGCCCACACGGCCTGTCCCTAGCCGGGTATCGTCAGGCAATATCCCCAAAAACGCCACGCTGGCAATGTCCTCATCGACCGGTCTCCCCGTCCCACCCGACTCCAACTCTACCTCGCAACCCATCGTCGGTCCTGCTCCCCCCACCAAGCGCCGCAAATCCGAGCCCAAGCCTGATACGTTTCGCGCCACGCGAGAAAATTCTTTTGGGCGCGTGCAGAGCTTGGCAGCGCTTGAGCGGGCAAAGGACGATCGGCCTAAGCTGCAGCGTACTTCATCGGATGGAGCAGTGCTGAGAAGGATTGATACCAAGGAAAAGTCGAGGTCACTCACACCGCCCCCGGTACCCTTGTTGCCCGAACAGTTTCGACATCAGAGCACGCTGAGCATGCCGGATACTGGTGAGCTCACCGGCGCGTCTTCGGAGGGCCAATACTTTGCTTCTCTTATTGTGCATGAGGCGGCCAGTTCGAACAGCGAGAATGCGGTGCTGATGCGGGAGCGTCTGGGTCTGGGCATCGAAGAGATGTCGAGCATGAAGGACAATATCGCGATGGCATATGACAAGTGGAAGCTGGAGAGGGGTATGAGCAAGATATCGCTTGGCAGTGATAGCATTTCGGTACGTCTTGATCATAGTGTGAGACCTGTGCTGAGGAGAGTAGGCGTCGACGGCCCCCTCTGCATCACAGTCGCCCCGTGGAAGCCGTACGAGCCTCCCCGATCCCAACATCTTTACGCCCGTGTCCAACATGCCTGTACGCTACGCCCGCGTTCCCAATACGCTTCCCATGTCGACGTCCTATGCCCAGCACCAACCGCAAGATTCACCATTGACTTCTGTGGCTCATGGCCGCGGACGGTCTCTGTCTTCTCTTTCCATGACGGCAGTCATCGAGAGCGCTGAGTGGAGTGTTTCAGACACACCCGGTGCTGTGCCTGCGGGGTCTATGGTCAAGGACGATACTGGATCTCCCAACACTTCGTCCATCCACACGCCTTCTACTGGTCAGGGTGCTTTCCCCATCATGGAGACCAACGCCCCTCCTAAGGCTCTTTGGACCGATCCCGTGGGCGGGAGAATGTACCATGCGTACCACAATGCTCCTGGCGTCCAGTCTATCCAGAGCAGGGACGAGTTTAACCAAAAGTTTGTCTTTGGTGTTGAAGGACAGTTGCTGGATAGTCCATTGTCCATGACGGGGCAGGTGGAGGGTATGAAGCTGGATATGCCGCCGCCGCCCCCCTCTGCTGGCGGCGTACATCAGCCAAGGCAGTCGAGCATGTCTGCTCCTTCAGCGGCTGACAAGCCGACGTCGTCCAGGCGACATGAGCGCCATGCCTCGGCGTCGGTCGTCTCCACCAGAGAGGCAGGGCACTTCCGTACGCCCAGCGGTCCCCGCTCGGCTGGTCTTCGGAACGTTCAAACCCAGTTCACCCCGCCCACCCCGCTGAGCGCGAGAGGCAGCGGCAGCGTCCAATCTCAGCAAAATACCGCGCCGGGTTATGCGGCAGACGAGCAGATGGACGGGATGCTGTTTTACACTGGTGTCTTTGGCACTGCGCCTCAGCAGTCCCAGGGCCAACAGGAGACTCAGGTCAAAGAAGCGCATCCACAGCAGCAGCAGCAAGGAAACTTTAGTTTCATGCCCAACCAGCCTTATCCCTCCGCCCCTCCCGTCACTCAAGGCTCCTTCCAGACATCTCTACCCGTAGCCACCTTCTCCTCGCAGCAGTCGGAGAATCAGTGATTCTCCTTCAACGACATCATATATTTCACTGCACAATCACGAGATACACCCTGGGGGAAGGGAGCGAGAACACAATTCTGTGTATAGGCAATCTTTGACGACAGCCCCCTCTTCTCATTATCGAAACGACCAAGAAAGGTTACGTTTGTGCATAAATGTCTCTTGAGCGGAGGCCCGCGGCTGCTTATATAGTATGGAAGGAAGGCGTGGTTTGGAGCTACTCTTTTTTTCATGATTACGACCCCACTTTTAACGAACTTTAACGACCCACAAAACTCATAAAGGATGAGAGAGAGAGAGAGGAGAGAGGAGGTAGACATAGCACATGGACTGTATCTGAGGAAGTGCAAGTTTTATCCAGTGAAATTCTTGTAGAGTAGACCTTTTCTTGATCTCTAGCGTTCATACAAGACTCGCTGTTCTCTAAAGACTGCATCATGTTACATTTGCCAGTTGATCACGAGAGAAAACCCGGTTTGTTGCGGTGAGGGCCAACCTGATACATAGGAGCCCTAGCATGCACTGTGAATGACCAGCCAACGCGCTTCGGTGGGGGAAAAGTTGGCAACCCATGGCTTCAGGGTGCAAACAAAGAGGACAGCCTGGAACGTATCCTTGAATAGCGGAAGTGTTCGGATGACATGGAGGATGTTGACCAAGGCATCCAAGGGATCGGAGCATGATGTTATTCTCAATTGCTCGCCGAACACCGTACTTCGTGGACGAGAGCAGTTCGTGACAATACATGACCTCTTTGATACAACTGCGTGAATGACTTTTACTGCCCCACACCCACTCACCACCATCTGGTTCACTTCTGATCCGTTACAGCGAGCCCCAAATGATCCGGCCCAAAACTCTCTGGCAACACCTCTTCCATCGTCATCATCTTGACATGCTTCTTTGCTTCCTCTCCTGTGCGATCATCCAGCCAGTCGGGATATTCACCGCTATTGAGAGTGGAGGAATAGGTGCCAGAGATAAAGTAGATTGGGACGTGGGGTTCGAGAAATTCACGGAGGAATTGGCGGCAGATGCCACAGGGAGATATGGCGGGGGATGGGATATCACTACGATATAGATGTTAGGCACCATTCGGGAGGAGGGTCCCCGAGCGAGTAGCATGAGAACATACGAAGTAACGGCTACAGCCAAGAATTTCTTTTGACCTTCGCTCTGTCGCAATAGATCAGCAAAGGTCAATATGCTTCCTCAGAAGACACTCACGACGGCCTTTGTGATAGCAGTACGCTCGGCGCATATACCAGCTCCTACAGTGATGGTCAATGACATCTAGCTGCATATGCAATGCGACGAACCATAGGAAGCGTTCTCTACATTGCAGCCCCCGTAAATCTGGCCATCAGAGCCCAGGAGAGCAGCACCAACCCTAAAATCTCAGTCAATAGCTGCAGTATTAATGATGTTGTATTCCCATACCTGAACTTGGAGTATGGTGCATACGCTCTATCGCGGTCTATGCCACAGGCTCATCAGTGGACCGTGTCATTGTGAGTTGTATCCCGACTGACAGGTGATAGCAGCTGCAAAGAGCTTGTCGAGAGCGGGTGCGTCAAGTGTATGCTGTTCGGATGACTGGGGTGACATTGTATGATCTCAATATATATATGCAGAAGTGAATTTATATAGCGAAGTTGAGTTTGAGTCACAGTTGAGTTGACTATCGGCAGGCCGCGATTTCGGTCACCGCCGCCGAGAAAGCCGCCACAACACGTGGGTCGCGGCGTTTTAGCATTTTCGAGTTTCGCTGCCAAACGACCAAAAAGTAGGAGGCTTCTCTCTAGACTTCAAACAAAAACACAAAAATGCCCTTCGTCAAGGTCCAGAAGAACTCTGCCTACGTGAGTATCGACATCCATGGAGGGGGGAGGAAGAGCGAGGGGAAACGGGCCAGGGGGAGTGAAAAAGGGCATGGGGAGAAATATTGGCGTGCTAGGAATACAAAAAGGGATGATGGGAGGAGTCAAGGGATCTTATAGGACGCCTGCTGACCTGTTCTCAGTTCTCTAGGTTCCAGGTTAAGCCCCGAAGGAGGAGAGAGGGTAAGACCGACTACCAAGCGAGGAGGGCTCTTGTGTCTCAGGCCAAGAACAAGTACGCTTCCCCCAAGGTAAGCTTCATGTTTATATGACGAGAGAATTCAACTGACGATCTATGCAGTACAGGCTCGTTGTCCGTATCACCAACAAGCAGGTGATCTGCCAGATCGTCTACGCCAAGCTCCAGGTCCGTTTTCTGCCATCTACCCTCCGGCCACGACTGACAAGATTTTAGGGTGACGTTGTCTTCGCCCACGCTACCTCCAAGGAGCTCCCCCGATACGGTATCAAGCACGGTCTCACCAACTGGACCGCCTGTTACGCTACCGGTCTCCTCGTCGCCCGACGAGCCCTCACCAAGCTCGGCCTCGCCGACAAGTACGAGGGTGTTACCGAGCCCACCGGTGAGCTCGAGCTCACTGAGGCTCTCGGTGACGACGAGCCCCGACCTTTCAAGGTTTACCTCGATGTCGGTCTCCGAAGGACCTCTACTGGTGCCCGAGTCTTCGGTGCCATGAAGGGTGCTTCCGACGGTGGTATCTTCATCCCCCACAACGAGAAGCGATTCCCCGGTTACGACCCCGAGGCCAAGGAGATCGACGCTGAGGTCCTCCAGAAGTACATCACCGGTGGCCACGTCGCCGAGTACATGGAGTCCCTTGAGGAGGAAGACGACGAGCGGTGAGTATCTTTTCTGCTATAACTTGTTCTTGTCCTAATATCGTTCTCAGATTCAAGAAGCAGTTCTCTACCTACCTTGCCGACGGTATTGGATCTGACGACATTGAGGAGATCTACTCCGCCGCTTACGAGGCCATCCGAGAGAACCCCGAGTTCAAGCCCACCGAGAAGGCCGACCTCGCCAAGTGGAAGGAGGAGTCCAAGAAGTACAAGACCAAGAAGCTCACCAAGGAGCAGCGACTCGCCAACGTCGAGGCCAAGATCGCCGCCTACAAGGCTGGCAAGCTCGACGCCGAGGACTCCGAGTAAGCGTTGGTGCTTGTTATTCGGTAGAGGGGATATGCATCAAAGCATTTGGTGTAGCTTTTCCGTGTGTTTTTATGGAACACTGTTGTAACATTGCACTGTCCAACGTGTCTGAGGATTGATCTGACGCACATGTATACGAGCCCACTCATGCTTGCATCTTCCGTTCGCTTGCTGAATTCCACTTACCCCAGGCGTGTGCTGTCTGACTCACGGGGTTGTGTCGATCCAGGCAACGCATCTTTGGGAGCCGCCGAGATTTGCTTTTGGGCCCCGCGATGGATATGTAGAATCGACCTCCACTTTCTGCAATCACATCCATCCCTGATCTATCCAACCATTGTCATCTCTACATAAAATCTCCCACTACTCTGTACACAGCCAACTGGAGACACTTCAGCTATAAGCCATGTCTATCCAGATCATCCCCGCTACCAGAGATGATGTCGTGAGTCCAACAGAGCACGGGAGGGCCCTTGGCGTGGTGGAAGGCTGTACACCTGACTTGATGTCACTGTAGCCCGAATTACTGGGTCTCATTAGGGAGCTGGTCAGTAAAGTATCAATGCGCTTCGCCAAACTGCTGCTGATTGTTGCACAACCAAGGCAATCTACGAAAAGGCTGAACATGAAGTCAAGGCTACTCCCGAACTCGTAAGCGCCCACCCATCACCTTTCTGACGTTGCTCGCTCGATATCTCTTGTTAACTGCTCACTCATGAACCTATGTGCAGATGACCAAAGCAGTATTCGACGACAAGTACGCCGAATGCTTGATTGCCCGCAAGCTACCGAAGGATGGTGCTGCTGGTAGAGGCGAAGCTATCGGGATGGCTTTGGTGCGTTTGGTGGAAGTGCCATGCCAAGCGTTGAGCTGATCAGAGTGGTGAAGTATTTTTTCACCTATTCTACCTGGCTGGCTGCACCTGGTCTCTACGTAAGCGTCTCCTGTATGCTAAATTCACACTTTCGAGTGCTGACTGAAGGTGCAGCTAGAGGACCTGTACGTCAAACCCAGCGAACGGAACCTCGGCCTCGGAAAACGTCTTTTCGGCGAGCTCGGGGTCATCGCCAAAGAGAAAGGCTGTCAACGCATGGAATGGAGGGTCCTCAAAGCTGGTTTCCATTGCTCGTCGCCGAAAAGTGTTCGTGCTGATCAGCGTGTACAGTGGAACGAGCCGTCTATTGCCTTCTATACCCAGTGCCTCAAAGCCGATCCTCAATCTGAATGGGAGGGCATGCGTATTGAAGGGGACGAGAAGATTCAAAAGCTCATCGACGACTTCCAGAAGCCCTAGAAGATATCGAAGCGCAGATTCCGGTGACATTAGAACATGGTGTGGCATCAAAAATGGATACAATATATTGGGAGGGCTAGCTAGTGCCTATTGACAAAGATCTTCACATCACACTTTGTCCAAAGCGCCTTTCTCTTTCCTACCACCCCGACATTTCCCCCTAAGGCTCCTCAGAAGGGCTTCGCTGGCTTATCAAGCGAGCAATGCTAAACACAGTCATCAGCCAAGTTTGGCACAGGAGAGATGCTGGACGTACTTTTCTATCACTTCTAACCGCTTCTCCCTAGTGATCTTCTCATACGGCTCTTCTATAGGGGGAAGACTACGGCAATCTGGTCAGCACAATACATCATAAAAGAAGCGTCCGACTCACGCAGCCTTCAGCCTGTTCATCGTCCTCAACCGACTTCGCCAGCTCGTGATATACTCTGCATCCGTCGGATCCCTCGCATTCCTGATATGCGCAAACCTCGCCGCCATATCGTTCGCCATCAACGCCACATGTCGCACAAACCCAGGCATCATCTCTTTCGAGACGATTCTGAACTTGCCAACAGGACTGAAATCTGGGATTCCGGGAGCACGTTGGAGAATGACCTTGAAGTAATCATCACGGCCCCATACGACATAGCCCTCTCCCTCGGGTCCGCCGCCGGGGTGGTTGGCACCTATAGCAGCGAGCGTCTCGGGCTGTGGTACAGGCCCATGCGTCTCAGGTGTAGTATGCGGCGAGATGACAATATTGATCAAATTAAACTCGGTCTTGATCGTGTCAAACTTGAAATCCTGACCAGAGTCGTTGTAGACGATCTTGACATAGTCATTGCCTATCAGCCTCTTTTTCCTGTCGAATTTGGGGTCGAGGGGATTGTTGGGCATCATGGTGGAGGTGTGGAAGATGGTTTGAACCAGGTCGTCCCACCAGGCATAAGCTACCTCGCCGTCAGAGTCGTCCTCGCGGTTCATACCACCGGTGAAGACGTCGGTTTGGCCCTTGAGCTTGATGAGCTGACCGAGGCCAGCGAGGAAAGCTTGGTAGAGGGGGGGTCCTTCGACGTTGGCCAGAATATCCTTTTCATCTGTCTGGCCCGGGCCGACGTAGAGAACACCAAACTTGGCAGTGTCGATGACCGGGGTACCCTCCAAAGAGCGCAGAGAACGGTCGAATCGGGACTCGTCGGGGACGAATTTACCGATTGGGCTGTCGGCACCGGTATCTGCGTATGAGGAAAGGAGTTCAATGGCAAGGTAGGCGGGGTCGACAGCGTCATGTTTCCGGCGTTGCAGCGCTGACAGCCCTTCTTCTGAAGAGTCATCGGTCTCGGAGATCGTCGATTTAGACTTCATCAACGCCGTCTGGTGATTATCAGCATTCTGCATTCCATAATTAGTAATACTGCTTACAGCGATCTTCTCATCCTCCATGATTTCCTGCCTCCTGTTCACCAGGTCATCTGTCAACGCAAACACATCGACATCCTTCTCTTCCAAGCCTGATAGCGGCACATTGTCAATCTTCGCCATGACCTCCGTAGCACCTGTCGGCCTGGTGGAAGTGATACTAGCCCAGCCGGACGGAGCGTGTGTGATGATGGTAATGATGGCGCCGTCGAGGAACCAGCTCTGTCTTTTAATCGGATCGGCTGGAGGCTGAGCAGCAGCTTCTTCCGAGCCTAATTCGGGCGTGGGCGCGGGAGCAGGGCTCGGATTCTGCAGCACGATTTCAGAGAAGAAAGATGAAGCAGGTTTGGGGTCCGCGTTCCTATACGTATACCTCGCGAACCAGTCCAAACACACCTCTACCATCTCATCAACTGCCACCCTCTGCGAACGACTCTGCAAAAGCTTAAAGATGATGTGTTTGACGAGCTCGGGTCGCAAAGCAAGTTTGAGACCGAGGAACCAGACGTAGATGGAGTGGTATGCGAGACCGATAACGTGCTGAGACAAGGTGTAACTCTCGCGCTTGTCGGCCGTCATATCAGATAGCTCGTCTGACCGCGCGTTGTGCTCGGCAATGTAGTCGATAACGAGGGTGAAAACATCCTTGTAGTGGGCGTCGGTGAAGTTTCGGAACAGGGGTGTGTGTTGACCGAGGGCAAGGATGAATTCGAGGAGATGCACGGCGATACCAGAAGTCAAGTTGATATCACGCATCTTGCTGATAATAGACAACAGCCTCTTGCCGATCGGCTGCTCCAGCTCGAAAATGCACAGCGTAAGCGCTTGGATACAAGGCTTTGCTACGATAGTGTTTGATTCCAAGCAAGTTTCGAACGCGACAATCAACGTGTCGCACTCCTTGCTGTCCAGCACATCCTTGTGACTGATGAGGATGGTGAGAGCTTGGAAGACGGCCGCGTTAACGTTGGGGCGTTTGATAAAGGCGTGGTGCTTGCACCTCCGTTCGATACGATTATCTTGGGGGATCGTATCGCACAGCACCTTGAGGAGCTTTTTGACCTCTTTCGTCGCCCTTGCGCCGCGGAAGAACAGCTTGTTGCCGAGTTGCAGGGGCAAAAAGCACAAGACGTACGACACCACCTCCCAGTCGGTCTCAAATTTGAGGACCTCATTCAAGCAAGCGACGTATTCAGAGACGGGCAACCACACACCCTCCACCGCCGGCGCATCCTTGACTCGTAGTGACGGGTGATTCGGATCATACGTCAAAAGCCCTTCACTGGGAAGGTTGTCGGCAGGAAGATCAAACTCAATTGACTCTGGGACCTGCCAGAGCGGATTGTACGAATCGGCCACCCTCGCATCAATATGCGCCGGGGGCCTCGAGCGACTCCGAGTCCGACTACTACCAGTCGTCGAGCTCGTCATCGTCCTCTCCCGCATACTCTCCCTCGCACCCTCTCTATGCACTCCAAACTCCCTCATCTGCCTGGCCTTGATCCTCGCGCGAGCCTCTTCGGCATCTGCGAGTATATTTGCCTTTTGCACTTCGATAGCTTCTTTTGTCCGACATAGCGTCTCTGCGAATGGCCGGATGGTGTTGTCAATGTTGGTGCGGAGGTAGATGCGGTGTTTGGGGTCGGCACGGAGGCGGAGGAGCCATTGCAGGATGGCTATCCTCGCACGGGGGCATTTGGCGCGGACGGTAGCCACGCGGGATGTGGGCGTTGCGTCGCCCGCGCCATGCTGGTTGCAGGGATGCAAAAGACCAAGTAGATCTCTGTATATGGTGATGCACCTTGACGAAGCTGGCGAGCGGATGGAATTTGAGCCGGTCGAGGATGGATGGGGAGGGGAAAAGGCGAGGCGGTTGAAAATGCTGATCAACGCACGGACCGCTAGTAACGAGTGACAGTCGGCATGGGGAGGAACTGGGGACGGAGTAGACTCTTTTCGAGGAGGAGAGATGTCTTCTGGAGAATCTTCGGCGATGGCAGTCGCTAGTGATGGGGTAGGGGCAGCGACCGACGGGAGTTCTTTTGTACGCGATGGCGGTGACAAGGCGCTCATCAGACCCTTGAGGGCAGATCCAGATGAACTTTGAGATGCGCTTTGTTCGCGGGGATGGGGGGGTTCTTTCGGGACGGATGCTGTGGAACTGCCCTGAGGGAAGGGTTTTGGAAGGGAAGGTGGCGATTTTTGGGATAGTGGTGGTGATGACAACAACGCCTCCATCTCCCGCTTCACCGGCGCGGCATGCTCCTCTTTACACCTCGCCTCTGACGAGAGCGAGATGATCATGTTTCGTATCGTGTGAAAACATCCACCCGCCGCAGCATCTTTCACCTCCTGACTGGGGATGGCAGAAGCGTCCTCCTCCTGCACTTCACTCTCTGCTTTCGTCGCTCTTGCCTGCCGTCTCTCTTCATCCCTCTCAAACGTCTCCTTGACAGCCGCTTTGACCAGCACTTCAAGGGCGAGTTGCCGAAAGTAGTCGTCGGTGATGGGTGCCAGCGTCTTTTCGAGAAAGGGGACGATGACCTGGGCTACGAGCTGGTTTCGGGGTTGCGACAAGGGCTCGGCGTGGTCGTACGCCTGTTGGAATAGCAGCTCGGCGACCTGTTTTCTAGCCCCGGGGAGGTTTGATGATGAAAGGAAGAAGATGTCGAGCAGTTTCCAGATGTTATCGAGCCAGTTCTCTGCCGAGGGGAGGCAGAGGCCGTCTGTCACATAGTGATCGATAATGCCTGCAGCATCTTCTTCGGTGAAATCCTCGATGGGCCGGACGTCTTTCCAGATAATCTGTTTCTTCAGACTCTCGAGTTCCGACTAGTAAGGGGTCAGCAAGCCTCGCATCGTATGGAATCTCGGACATACAGGGTGAGCGATGGCTAAGACGTTTGGGATTAGCGGGGATCCTCGGGACAGGCAGCTGGGGGAGCTCACCAAAGACGATAAAGTTGACTGGAGCCATGCTGGCTCGCTCTGTGGGCGGTTGGCAGGACGGGGGGTGGTTTTTGGATACCTTTTGGGGACGAGATGGGAAATGCAACGCGATTCCAATGACGCTCGGCAATTATTCAGTTGATCTGCGGCGCGCGCGCCGTGCTTTAGGATTTATCGGAAAACTCCGATGCGTTTATCGTCTCCTCGTTTCATTTGTGCTCTTCTTGTCTATTCTCATCTCATGCCACCCATCTGGACGACCTCACGTATCTGTATCCACTGGAATGATAAGAGACGGGTCCATCGCAAATCAAACGCTCCATTATTGGTCCTATCATCAATACCGCTATCCACCCTCCTTTGACTCGATTACAGCTTAATTCCGGACACTATACTTGAACGTTATACTCGAATGAAACACACAGTCAAGTCATGCTTTTGACGGTCTCCAAGTGCTGCTCATAGCCATTGCCTACTATCAGACTCAAACATAGACACGGTTGGCCATATGCGACAGCACCCATCAATCTTTCTGCGTACTATATTGCTATTTCGAATTACCACGTTTGGCGTATGCATTGGGCGATTAAGAGACGCTTGCCGGAGATCAGAGAGAGATCGTCGAACAGATCGTTCACTATCATATACAG